ATGCTCTTAGTATAAACATGTGAAATACTGTGCACAAGACTGACATATGTGAATACATAGCAATAAATGACTTCTCAAAATCATCCTTCTTTGAAAGTCTTGGGAAACAGAAACTTCTCCTAGGCATTAACAAAACTGTTCAGAAAAAAATCCTATTAGTTTATTCCTCAGGAAGGACCTTAGCATGGTGATTTCTTCCCATAAGAACTTAGTGTGAAGGAGCTGGGCCCTCTAGGTAAGGGTACAGCGTAAGGAAGCTTAATCAGGTCAGGTGCAGAGAGATGGGAAATGCAGTTTGCTCCAAGAGGTTGATGATAACAGAATCTTAGATGTTTGCAGCACAAAATAGCATTTGGTAAGTCTGTTCCTGGCAGGAGCTTGTACATCTAAGCACAGTGTGAGAGCTCTTAGCCAACAACGTGTTTTCTTTACTGTTTTAGCACAAGATCAAAGCACGTAAGCAAACAGATATTTTAGGGTTGTGCTGTGGTTGTATTAGGCTACCAGAATTCTTTCTTTTAAGTCAAGTACTTGGAAAGTGATTGCTTTGAATAGAAACCTGGTGATGCAGATTGAATAATATCCATCTGTAAAAATGCTCACTTTGCATTAAATCCTGAAGTACCACTATATGTGGTAGTGTCTTAGGAAACACTTCTCAATTTTAATTGCTAAGCTTTAAAATAATTATTTTAAAATAATTTTCCAAGCAGCATAAGATTTTGGCTTTTTTAAAAAATGCAGTAGGTTGAATACACTAAGAAGGTGGCTTCAGCTCAAAGGTTTCCTGAAAGAATTACTATTTTTAACCCATTCAGTCTTTTTTTTCTTTTATTCTGACAGTTTAAGTGAATCATCTTCCAAATAAACAGGACTGAAACAATGCTTAAACAATACTTTTTCAGTTAAATAAATAAATATACCTTAGAGTCCCACTTCAAAATTCTGTGGCATCCATATTCTACAAAATGATGGGCAATATTTCTGACTCCATCCAATATTTACCAGGGAAAAGCAGCAGCAAGATTTAATATTAAGATGGGACTATTTTCTAATACTATAACAAATAGTTATATTTAGGTTATATTTGGAAAAATAGACAGAACTATGGCTGGATACACTCTGCACTGTACTTCTGAGTTCATCTACTTGGTACTGACATGAATGTATGTATTTGTGCCGATGCAATAATTTTGTTTGGCTTGGTTCACAAAGCTCTTTGAAAGGTCCAGATTTTATGTTGATTCAGTCAATAATCATCTCCAAACTAGGATTTTAGTCTAGCACTTATCTAGTGCAGTTTTTGTTCAGCCCACCCCCATTCCCCTCCTTCACAGACTCACTGTATTTTGAGCACATGGATTAAAAGAGAACTAGGTGTCTGGGTGCTCTAAATTAAATCCTCCCATGCACAACCATGAACACACATGTACAGTAATAAATGTATCAAACCATGACTTACCTTTCTCCGAGAAGTGTTTCAAGATTAATTTGTAGGTTCACCATGTTTCAATATGCATTTATACACCTATTGATGACCAGAAAATGTGTTAGAAGATAGACCATGGGAAAAAAAGGAAAGATTATATCAAATCCTAGATCCCATCAAAGAAATGTCTTCTATTGGATTCTATTTTCCTCAGGAGTTCAGTATTAATACATTTACCCAGGGGTAAAATATGCTAGGAGATTCTTTGAAGAAAGCAAAATGTTATCAATGTTATAACTACTATTATAAAATATATAATTATATGAAGCTTTATACAAGCTATTTTTAAAATTATGTGCATTCATGCAGTTCAAAAGTCTTTTTATTTATAACTAGGATTTTTTATTTCAGTATAATTTAAAACAGTAGTTATGTATTTTTCTAAGCATCAAAACATTACTTGATATGTAATAAATAGTCTCATAAAGCTTCATAATAGAAAATTGAACTACCTACATATTTCCTTCTTATGTCTTTAAGAAAACATCCTCAGCATGACCCATATAAACCAGTTATCTCTACCCAAATCAAGTGCCATTTGAGAGAAAGTGAAATCAGCACTTTATTTTGGGTGGTTTGCTTTGTTTTTGTCTAAAGCAACACAAGGAACAACAAGCTGAAACAGAAAGAATTTCCAGATAGGAACACGTGATAAAAACAATCTGGCAAGATATTGATGCTGACAGAGTCCTTTTTTTTACTTTATGCATCTTTTGTAACACCTACTTTTGCATTTGCTTTTTCCCTTGTATCTTTTTCTTCTTCCTTTCTGATGTGTGATCTATATTTGATACACAGAAAATAAATAATTTTAGGGTAAGAAAAAGTCATGTTTTCCTTGGACACACAGGGAAAACATAGGAGCTGAGAACCCCCTTGCAAACAAACAAGGTGTCTGCCAAATTGACAGAATTTAGACTCTTATAATATTCTAGTCTGATACAGAATGCATCTTTTTGGAACAAAGACTTCTGTGTTTAATTATTCTTCATAAGACAATTTTTTCAAAAACTTGAAATTATTTGTTGTGAAGATATCACATTTGTGCCCAGGGACAAGTTACTATGTGGGACTGGTTTATCACACCAAAGGTGGCAGGAAAACATTTCACACTAGGCAGTGTCCTCATGTAAATTTGATTCTTTGTGATAATTTATTATGATGGAATCCTAAAATATCAGTGTTGGATAGAGCTTGTGGGTACAGAAAAAAGAACACTGTGCTTCAGAGACAATGTGTGTTCAGAGAGAAAACAGCCTGGTACATTTTTGTTTTCTACAGCAGCTCTATCTGCTACAGATAAACAAAGCTTTTCCTAGCAGAGCTTACCAGCATAATATCATAATATTGAAATTCTTTAAGCATAAAATGTGGGGTTGCATTCCCTTCCTTCAGACTGAGGTTGCAAAGAACTGCCAGCACAAATTTGCATTTAAAACTACTTAGAGCCAAATTGGTATTGCTTGATTATAGGTGGATAAGTTTAATGTATTGGGGTCAAGTATTTTAGCATTGAAATGATTTTATCTAGGGGCACTCAAAAGCCTGACTTGGCCATTGTGTGGTCCACTGACTGTAACAGAGGCCAAAGATCCTAATTCCCACTACCTAAGTCCATGCCTAAATGCCAATTTCAGGCAGCTGAGATAAAAATTAAAGCTGATGTGTCTGGGATGAAAACTTAATCATAATATGGTGCTGCAAGTTTTAATATGCAAAAAAGTCCACACAATTTTCAGAGTATGCTTGTCTATCGAAACCCACTAATAACCAATTAAGAATGTGAATAGAATGTACAGCTAATAAAGTACCCACAGGAATATTATTATCAATGGTCTTCTACATCTTTTACATCTCTGAGCAATCCAGGATTAGTATTACAGTATCCATCTCTATTTGACTTACCATCTGTGTGATGGCGAGCCTGGAAAACTTTCTCAAGCTTTGACACCTGCTTGTTTTTCTTCTGTTGCAGACCTCTTGCAAGAATAATGAGCTGACCCTCTGGAATGAAAGTGCATAAGAATTTTGTAGGAATCCAGCAGCTCTTTTCAGACAAGAAGACTTTGCTAATAGAACAAATTTTCAGTAAAAAAAGTGCACAGTAAAGCTGCCATGCTTGTGCAGACACAGCTGCAGTAGCCAAGACAATAAATAAGTGTTTGCACAGTTCAAATTCTTAGCTATCAACAATTTTGATTCCCTCACCAAAATATACACAGCATTTTCATCCTTCAAAGGAATGTTGTGATAACTGATGAGAGAGATTACAGCAATAAAATCACAGAAGTGTCATGTTTGCAGGTAATGAATTGAACCATCAGCAAATGTTGATATTTGAATGTGCACATATACATACATACACACACACATATATATATATAAACACATAGAGGAAGAGAGATATGGGGAGAGCATTGAAAATATTTTATAGCTTTCTATCACCGAAGAGGCTGTATTTCACAAATTGGTGGAATAACTTAATTAACAATAAGACCAATGACTGGAAATATAAAGTAACAGGTTTGCAATTTGTTATTTTGTTTGTAAACACCGATAAAAATAAAGTGGGTTAGGTATTTGCTCCAATAATCATCAAACTATACAGGAACAAAAATGTATTTAATTCAACTGATGATATTGATCTATTGATTATTGTAAAGTTAAATGCACTGTGTTTGGAAACAGAAAAATATTAAGTTGATGGCAGAAGGCTGGATCTGTGTTTTTAGAGACTCTGAGAAAGCAACTACTGTATCTAATTCTGATGGATAAATTTCATTCTGCATTTGGACATTGGGAACTAACAGATTGTCCAAGGTACTAGGAGGTTTGAGCAGAATCCAAGTGTCAAATTTGTGTCAGACAAGACTAAGTCCAGCAGAAAATTTTGATGCTTTTATTTTATTGGGAACATTTCACTTTCCCATAATTGAAATTTTCTTTAGGATAAAATTTTATTTATTTGTCCCTGAAATTTAAGAAAAGTGGGCTTGGGATGAAAAAAAAATTGTTCCTGGTGATTGAATTTGCCCAATCTCCCAGTTCATAAATGTCATTGGGTAGGCTTGTCATTGTCTATATTTACTTGGATCTAGACAGAAAAAATAGGGGAGGTAAAAAACGCTATTGTAGATCATAGTCCAAGTACCTATTTTAGGCTGAAGCACTCTTACTTTAGGAAATCACGAGATTCCCCAAATTATATACTCCACTAGTAGTTGCTAAATCGCATTTTTGGATAACAGAATTTGGGATTCTGGTGCCAAAATTTCGCAGCATTCATCTTCCATAGTCCTCTAGTGTTTCCCCTCTGGCCAGGAAGTGTTTCCTGTGTCTGTGTAGCCTCTTTTATTAGGGGGAGGGGAGATAAAATCCTTGCATATTCCCCCTGATCCTATCACACACTAAATCACCTCATTCATACTGACTCCACCAATGCTGCTTTCCCCATTTCCTGAGTTACTTAGCAACAACCATCCCTCCCTTTTCCACTCCCCCATCCAACCTTTCATTTTTTTCCCCCTTTGCAATCACGATTTCCACGCTGTTTAGAAAAATGAGGATGCTCAGCAGCATAGGGCGAGTTTTTCCTTCCAACCTCCTTTTTTATGCCTGCCAAATCCTTCTCAGCTCCAAAATGAAAATCCAGGCTGCCTGCATATGTGTAATCAAAGGTTAAAAAGCACCCTGGCTGACACCACGCATGTGTTAATCTGTGCTGCAGCAGAGTGCATCATTTCCACTTTGACCTCAGAGTTAATCTGCATTCAGGCTGAAGCTCCATAGCTTTATTCTTTTTTTTTTTTTTTCCCTCATTTACTCTTTGTTGCTTTATTGGATTTTCCTGCATGTGTGTCAGCGGTTCCGTAAATGTGTATGTGCTCCTTTCCTTGATGTTTTTATTCTGTGAGTGTCTGTGATTTTCGCTTTTTGTTTGGGTTTCATTTTTTTCCTTTTCTTCCAATTATATTATTTCCCTAGATTTGGAAGCTGCTGCCTGCTGCCAGAGCTGACGTTTTCTGATTATATCTGCAAAGGGCTTGTGCAGATCTAATTTCTCTCCCCTTGCATATTAATTCCCGCAGCTGGGCGCAATGTCTCATCCCACTGACGGGACCTGGTAGGGAGGAGGGAGAACTACTACCAAAAAAAAAAAAAAAATTAAAGAAGGGGACGGATCCATCTGCAACCGAGAGGAAAGGGGGAAAAAAGCTGGGGGGGGGGGGGGGGGGGCTGGAATAGAGATGATTCCTCCAAATCCAACAAGCCTGGGGAACACTGCATTCTTGAATCCTGCATTTTCTCTCAAAATGATGGTGTGGGCACTTCTGTTCTTCTCTCTCATCCAGTGGTAAGATGTGCTTTCTGATTCTGTTTGGGAGGGTGGGGGGAGAGGGAGGGCTGGGGGGGGTGAAGAATCTGCGAATTTGCTGAGCTGTCGTGAGAATGCCAGAGGTTTGGATAGTGGCATTGCATTCATCCATCTCTAGCAGCTGAGATCTTAGAATGTTTTCTTTCTCTTACAATTGTTGTGGCTCTGACATGGACAGAGGGAGGGTGAGCGGCGGGTGTGTGCGATGGTGGTACATGCCGGGGCTGTTCATAGAATTTGGTGCCATATTAATGAAGCCTTTTATCTCTGAATTAATAGCTCGCTCGGTGCACGGAGCTGCGTTTTGCGGGCACAATGTCCGTGCATTCCTGCTTGTTTTCGCGGAGCGGGCAGCCCCATCATGGCTGTGCGGGGCTGCGCGGCGGGCGCGGGCAGGGCTGGGTACCAAGGACAGGGATGCGGGTCCCGCTCGGCTCCTCCCGGCTCCGCACGGCTCCCTCAGAGCTCCCCCGGCTCCGTACAGCAACCCCGGGTCCCTCAGAGCTCCACTAGGTCCCTCATAGCCCCTCTGGGTCCCTCGGAGCCCCCAACCCCAGCATCCCCCCGGTGCGGGCGGCCGCGGCTCCCCAGAGGATGCGATAGTTTTGGGGTTGAATGTTTCCAGCTGAACGCTGCCGGCACACCCGGCTCGTTCTGCTGCATGTGTGTGCATCACGCACCCAAAGGGAAAGGGGTGAAAATCCCACAGCACAGGAAGCAGGAGTTCATATGTGGATGAGCAGAAAGTGGAGGGCGGGAGAATTGCTGCAGTGCCAAGCTTTGCGCTGGAGCAGACATCCCTGCAAAAATGTGTGGACTGTGCATTTAACAGGTTAGATGAGGGAAAATCTCTGCACGGCAGTGTGTGGCCTTCCGAGAGGCAACAGACCCCTCCCCACAGCTGCACGAGCCATGTTGTCACTGATACCTTCGACAAGTTAGTGCCACTCTGCTACTACTAATGCTACATTCACACAGGCTTCTCAAATTTACCTTCTTTCCCCTTCCTTCCTTTTACATGGACACTACCATACCAAAAAGGGGGGTCTTTCCTTTGGTTTTCTGTATTGTTTGGTTTATTTTTCTTTATATTTCCTTTTTTAAATTATTTTTTAAATTTAAGTAAAATCAGACTTCATACCTGCAATGGCAGGATCTTAGTTCTAAGCCAAATAAAAGGCCAAAATGATTGGCTGGGGAAATGAAAAGTTGCTAGGTTTTCAAGTAACTTTTTTTTTTCCACACAAAAAGAACTTTGTAAAGAATTCCTGTGAGAAGAAACTAAAACTGGTTGAAAATTGAGCAGAAAATGAGAAAAACTTGATGAGCCTACTGAGAGGGTACTTCGGTGTTGGGAATAAGACAGGTGTGAGGTATTTTTGACTCTTATGAAACCAGTTATGGTTACTACCTGAATACAGAAATGGAAAAGTCAATTTTTACACCATTTTATGACGGGCTTTCATATTATTTTGACATAAAACTTCCACTAAAATAATCCCAGATACTTATTTTAGCACACTTCCTTCTTTTCACTCATCTTTCAGAAAAGCATTGCCTGAGAGGAATTTTGCCAAAATTATTTCATCAGCTTTAAAAGAAACCCTTCATAATGCAATTTATAGTTTTATCTCAACAAAAAGTTCTGTATTCTGTTCACAGATCTCTGATAGCCAAGATGGTTTCTTTTGAAAGCCTCCTGATCTAATAATTTTAAAGAATAAATCATAGACTGAGAAATAATAGCTACATCTAAAGGGAAAATTATTCTCAGTGCTTTAGAGAAACATTTTAAATGAGTCAATATGTATATGTGATTTTAATTCTAACAATCAGAACATTTTCCTCCTCCCATTGTGGAAGGAGCCTTGTTATTAGTTTTGGAAACTCAAGGACCAAGATAGAGTTATAAATGTTGAATTCAGATACCATTTATTTATAGCCAAGATGAAAGGTTTTCTTTGTTAAAAACTTATCAAACACTTCAGAAAAAGGGGATTATTATTGTATTGTGTGTCACTTTTCAGGGAGACTGAAATTTAGAAAGGCCAATTCAACACTAACAAAGATGCTCCACATTGAACATCTGAATAAATGTGTTGACATCTAACAGAACACACACAGAAGTTTAAGTATTTGCAGAATTTGATCAAAGTAATGATTACCATTGCTGTGCAGAAATTTGAACCCTTTTAATACAAGAAATTACTATATAGGGAAATTCATTGCTGCAAAATCATTAATATTTAGAAGATTAAAGAAAGAAGAGGAAAGTTGAGACACCACTCAGGCACTAATGCAAGTAGCTAAAATTCTAGCACTGGCTCCAGTAAATCATGAATGAACTCAGAAAAAATATCATTTTACAACACTGACGTATTTTTATCTTAAAGAATTTGTATCACTTTTATGAAATACACAAAGTGCATCCTTAAAACTGGGCATACTAAAATTTTAGGTAGTGCTTTTTTCCAGTTGGTTTCTCAACATTCGTAACTGGGCTGGAAACTTCTTGCACAAAGTTCCCTCCTCCTCTCACCCCTCAGATCAGTGTCAGCAGTGAGCAATCCATCACATGGGCTTGGAGCTGTGTTCAGTGAATACTGCTCAGATCAAACTCCCAATTTCTGAAAATTGTATGTAAAAAGTCCTCAGATCAAGAGAATTTAAAATTATTTAGAAAAATATATTTGTACACCTGATGGGTTTAATCAGAACTAATTATTTGATGGTTCTCATCAAACATACAACATGTATTTAAAACATCACATGTAATAGAAATCACCAGCAAAGTTTCAAAATTATTTAAGGCTGTACTCTGCACACTGCTTATATGGGGTTTATCAGTTACTTTTGCAGAGCTTTAACAAACTGCCACCAAAAGCTACACAATACAGTGGAAAATAATGTTCAGATGGGAAATTTGGGACTTTTTCTTTTCACTTGTTTGTGCCCAAGGAGTTTCATGGCAATATTTTTATGCTGAAACTACATGCCTAAAAGAGAACAATGTCAAGACTGATCAAAAAAACCCCATAAACAAAGCAATCATTTTAGCATCAAAATAGTCTGGTGCCTAAGTGAATACATGTATATTTATTAAAAAATTAACGAACATGGGCGTAAATAAAATTATTTTGGTCATGTAAAGTGATATGATATAATAACAAGATTATCTTTCAGATGGGCAGTCACTTAGAATTACTGTAAAGCTTGCCAATATCAGTTTGGTGTTAATCCTGCAGTCATAGTTATTCATACATTTCCAATAATTTCTCACTGACACTAAGCCAGAGGTCCCATTACTGGAATAAGGAGTTGTTCAGTAAGAGACAATTTTTCACCTCACAAGGATTAGGCCCTTTTGAAGAAGTGTCGTGATAGAAGATGTGGATCTAAGCCCTATTAAAATATGACTTTATCCTTATCTATGATGCCATGAAATGAATATTTCATACACTCCAGTGTTTGTATCAGCAGAGCTAAAGCTGTGTGGACACAGGACCTGCACATTTGAGCATTTCAGGGGGAGCAAGGCCTGCCTGTGAGTTTTTCATGGCCATGCTGCATTCCTGACTGCTGGGAGCTGCAGTGCTGAGACACAACAGCTACTATTGCCATATTATAACATAATAGCTATTATAACAGCTATTATTGTCATAAACACAGTACCAAAACTACTGATCTAAAGTAGATTTGAAAATTAAGTTAAATTCTATTGTTAATAACTTGATGGGGCAAAAAACCAAATTACAGATGCTGTTTCCCTACTTGAAAATATATGATTCAGAAATATGGATGAAACCCTTTGACTAACTTCTGCTGTAGTGACTAAACCACCTAAACATAACCTGCATGCCAAAACTCATGTACTCCAAAATACTCCAGTGAGTATGGAAAGCAATGTTAGACTCCTTTCTGAAATTTTGAATCTTCAAAAATCTAAAGAGTGAAAGCTGCTAATAAAAATCTATAGAAACTAACTACAATAAAAATATCTTAGAAAATTAATCTGTTCTTTTAATATAAGATTTCCCATATTATTCATATTATGTCTTCTTCATGGCCATCCAAATAATGCTTTAGGGTCTTTAGGGTTTAAAATTTTCATGATTAATGGTAATCTGGAAAAAATATCCTGATGATTTGGATTGTGTTTGCATTGGTTTCTTTTTTACTACATTCAGTCTATTGACATATATCATTAAATTCTGTAGCAGCTGCACAAAAGTTTAAAAGGGAAGGGGAGTGAATGGATGAAAGGGAAAGGAGCAAATGTTTGGTCAAGGGGAACTCTTTCCAAGTCTCAGTCCCAGTACAATTAAACTCCTATATGCTTTAGTAATGACCACCACTTTCTCCAATGGAAAACTGAATTTTCACTTGAATAATGAATTATTAAATGTTTAGATAAAGCATTAGACACAGATGACCAGTAACAGATGCACATACATAGGATGGTTGATTTTTTTACAGTACCTTGCAGATATACATTCCAGTAAGCTCCAAAGCAGAGGCAGCTTTAAGGTCACTAGCTGTGCCTGGCACTGTCCTGCAGAGAGAGATGAACTGGCTCATTTGGAGCTGGCTCTGTCCCTTCAGCCCTCCCCTTGTCACAGGGAGTGTCAGCCACTCCAGCTGTAAAATATAGATATTATTATTATTATTATATATATTCCTACATATACAGTCCTATATTCTATTAGGGTGATCATTTGATTACTTATTTTTTTAGCATTCATGGGAATAATTGGAGTGTTCTGGGTTTCTCTCTTGGTGCAGTCTGAACTGCAGATTTGCAGACTATGGCACCTGCACCCCACACAGAGAAACCTCAAATGCAGAGGGAGAGGTGGCGTGTGTGAGACGGGAAGTGAGTTGTGAAAGACTGCAAGTGAAGAACAAAGTGGAACTGGAGGGTGGATTAATGTGAATTCAAGCTCAGAAAATCAGAGTCACTGAATCATTAGGGTTGGAAA